AAACACTGACCATAGCCAACGGCAATGATAGAATTCATGGTCGCAATACGTTGGATCTCCATCTCGTTGATGATAGTGACACTTCTGTCCAAACTTCCTGCAAGCATGTGAGCCTTGGCATAGGCTGCGTAGCAGATAAGGTTGGGCCTTACGCCTGTCGAGCGACATTGTTCCCAAATTTCATTGGCCCTTGGAGCATTGCAGCGATCCGCAGCAGCATTGAGCAAGCTGCCTAGAGTAACATGATTGACGCTGCTCGATGTGGCATCCTGAAGGAATTTGTCAACCAAGTGTACTTCGCCGCCTCTCTCGCACAGTGCCAGAAATGCGCCACAGGTGGCGGCATCCTTGGTGAACGCCTGAGAAGGGGGCATAGCAGACCATTCCCACAACTCGGATGCCCATTTGCGGGCCTCCGTGTTGTTAATTGCGGAGCTAAGTTTGAAGGCACTGCTGAGCATAGCATTGAAATCCAGTGCGTCTCTTGCTCCGTCTTTGCCTTCATCAAACACTTCTCGGCCGAGCTGGAGAGCCAATCGGGAACGGGCCGGGATCACAGAAAACTTCCCCTCTCGACGAATGCACGTGGCCAGGGCACACATCACGGCCGAGATGTGCACAGTATCGGATGTTATCTTATGTGTCCGCTGCAACGCCAAAATGTCTATCAACGTGCTCCACCATCGACCCTGACCGCATCTCTGAACCGCAGCGCTGAGAATGCTGATGTCAACCTTGCCGGACCTGCAGGAAGAACGCAGCATGTGCAGAAGCTCCTCAGATGTACTGCATGTCTTCAGCTGGTATCGCAGACTGGTGCCACGCGGAGAGCGGCGCTCTGGCGTACTGTTCTTTGGATCTGTAGGGGACGTTAGGAAATATCCTGGCTTTGCACGGCCTGTCCTCGCGTTGTAGCTTTCTTTGGGCCGCGTCAGCATGCGCTCGCGCTGAGAGGTCGGCACCTGATGCGGGCGTGAGTGGCTCCGTAGGGCCCCCGCACCAGTGGCGGCTAACCACCCACCAAGGACGAATTTCTGGCGCGCCCAACCTGCGAGCCACGGCGTTTGCACCTCAAACTGCCTCAGCTTCCGTGGCCTACTTCCACTCAGGGCACATGGGGTTGGAATGCCATGTTCTGGCGCCCAACAAGCCGCAAGAGGCGCCATCCGGGCTCTGGGGCGGCTCTGTGGGGACTTGAAGTCCTGCTTAGTCGTCCAGTATCCTTAGAGGAACTATGAAGGTTAACCTTTGAAATTACACAGGTATTATCATAAAAGGTGAAAGGTCACCCATACTCTGCTACTAAGAATGGAGCGGCATTGCCTTGACTTCAGTCCCCAAGGTCTGCAGGGCCTCAGAGCTTTTTAAGGGTTTGGAAAAATGCTTTGGGGCTTGGGCTGCAGGTGCAGGGGGTTTCGGGGGCTCAGAAACCGTAAACCCTAAATCCGAAACCGTAGGGTTCAGGGTTCAGGGTTTAGGGTTTAGGGTTTAGGGTCTAGGGTTTAGGGTTTAGGGTTTCGGGTTTAGGGGCCAAACCCTATAGGGTTTAGGGCTTCTAAGGCTTTAGGATTTAGGACCCCTGAGGCTACAAAAAGCCAAGCTGAGCTCGCGGGCACAGAGTTTTCCGGCTCGGCAGTCCTCGCGGCCTCCTCGCAGACTTTGCGGTTCCGGGTTTAGGGTTTAGGGTTTAAGAGTTTAGGAAATATAGGGCTCTGAGTTTCTTGTAAGGGGTTAGTGGCTTTGGGTTCATGCATTTTTTCTTTCATGATATAGGGTGTTGTGTGTGTGTGTGTGCCCGCTTCCTCGTTCGAATCGGAGTTGAAACGGCACCCGACACCCCATAAACCCAGGTTCAGCTGTGCAAAGGAAAGGAAGGGCTGCTTTAGGGTTTAGGGTTTAGGGCTTAGAGATTGGGGTTGACCTACCTCGGAAAGTAAATGAGCCCTGATAGGCATGTCCGATTTTTTCTGCCGTATCCCCTGATACAAGTACAAGAGCCGTAACCCTAAACCCTAAACCGTAAATCCTCAGCCAGAATCCCCTTTCGAGGAAGATGATTTGCTGCCCGCAACTATTTCTCATGGCATTGCACCTCGGTGGGTGGGAGGGGGGGGGGGGGGCTCTGACAACTAATGAAAAAACATATAAGGTTCTCAAGATGTCCTTAAACTCATTTCAAGCCAAGGTTGTTCCGATCGTTTGGTTTTCAACAAAAATTAGGATTCGTGTTTGCAATTTCTCATTGTGACTATATTGCAATCCTCATCTGTCCGTTTGAAATATGAGATTTTCAAAGATTTCCAGAAATGTATGCAAACCAAAAAATGATTCCAAATCATTGCAAATCCTAAAAGAATAGAAGTGTATGATGAATTATGAGTTTTCGACAAGATTTTCTGAAATTGTGAGGGTCTGCCCAAATTGAAATATGAGATTTTCAAACACTCAGTTTAAACACATGTTTTTGCCCGAATTTGAAACATGATATTCTCAAAGATGCCGAGAATCATCATAAGTCCTAGATTCATATTAGTCATTTCCGAATTTACAAGGATTTCAAATGAATTCCGGAAATCCAAATTTGGCTGCCCATGATGAAATATGGGGTTCTCCAGAACGCGTTGCAACATGTCACGCTCGACTCCAGTACTTGCGAGAACCAGCCAACATTATGCGGGTTGAAATATGAAATCTTCACAGGCGGCTCTCCTCGGCCCTCCTGGCTGTTCCGGACAGCGGCAACTCCGCCAGGAAGAGAGAAGCCTGGCATGGGAGTTCTGGTTTGGGGTTTAGTAAGGGTTTAGGGTTTAGGGCTTAGGGTTTAGGGTTTAGGGCTTGGGGTTTAGGGTTTAGGGTTTAGGGTTTGGGGTTTGGGGTTTGGGGTTTAGGGCTTGGGGTTTACAGTTTAGCCTCAGGGTAGTTACATGGGCCCTTCACATGGCTTCGGGTTTAGGGTTTAGGGTTTAGGGTTTAGGGTTTAGGGTTTAGGGTTTAGGGTTTAGGGTTTAGGGTTTAGGGTTTAGGGTTTAGGGTTTAGGGTTTAGGGTTTAGGGTTTAGGGTTTAGGGACCTTCGTTAAGAAGTTCTGAAGTATGGGCCCTTGGGATTTATAGGGTATAGAAGCGGCTCCCCCATCCTAAGGGACCATGTAACAACCCTTAGATTTTCCAGGGTGCCCAATACTCCTGAATTCGGGAGTTTACCTGAAACTATCTCCTTGTGCGTCTTGCACCATCTACCCAGGAGTAACCTGGGAATAAAAGGGTACCCTTTTTGGTCTTAAGGGGATTACGAAGGAAACCCAAGCCTAAAACAAGGAAATAAGGGCCTACTCCGGGTCCTAGTCTAGGTCAATCTAGGTTTCAGCTTCTGATTTAACCCTAAACCCTAAACCCTAAACCCTAAACCCTAAACCCTAAACCCTAAACCCTAAACCCTAAACCCTAAACCCTAATCTTCGACTCCCGCCCTCGCGCGCTCGTTTGTCGCCTTGGGGGGGGGGAGTGCTGCGGATCACGCGCGCGAGATGCGCCCTCACTGCCCTTGGGGACTACAGGGTGGGGCCCCCTAGTTATAAGTAGAGTTATAAGGGCCCTAAATTGGGTTATAAGGACCCTAAGTTCGGTTATAAGTCCCTTAACTACAGTTAGTATAGTAAGGGGGCCCCACCCTGTACATGAACCTGGAGCTGGCTTCTGCGGTGGATTTGGGGGACCTTCCAGAGAATTCCTGCAATCATCCGAGTTCTATATGGCTTGATCGGGTCCATGTAGGGATTGCGTATCACATCCCTGGTTTACGGTGCTTATGTAGGGCAAACCAATGGCCATGTTGGGGGATCCTAAACCCTAAACCCTAAACCCTAAACCCAGGCAATCGAAGCGGGAGAGCTTCGTGGTTTAGGGCTCTAGCACTGGGGGGGGGGGCCTATCTTGACCATAATGACTATTTGTTGCAAGTTGGGTTTACAGGGTGGGGCCCCCTAGTTATAAGTAGAGTTATAAGGGCCCTAAATTGGGTTATAAGGACCCTAAGTTAGGTTATAAGTCCCTTAACTACAGTTAGTATAGTAAGGGGGCCCCACCCTGTACATGAACCCGGAGCTGGCTTCTGCGGTGGATTTGGGGGACCTTCCAGAGAATTCCTGCAATCATCCGAGTTCTATATGGCTTGATGGGGTCCATGTAGGGATTGCGTATCACATCCCTGGTTTACGGTGCTTATGTAGGGCAAACCAATGGCCATGTTGGGGGATCCTAAACCCTAAACCCTAAACCCTAAACCCTAAACCCTAAACCCTAAACCCTAAACCCCAGGAGTCCCAAAGGGGAATCAGAGGATCGAGTCATAAGCGGGGGAAGATGTGCTTCCCACAGCTCCATCTTTTCGGATGTTCCCCCTTAGACGAACAGCTCCTTAGTAGGGGCTATAGTACCCCCCTATTATAATCCCCTAAACCCTAAACCCTAATCCCTATTAAGGAGCTGTTAGTCTAAGGGGGAACATCCCAAGCTCCATCTGTCAAGCGGAGCAGCTGCCACTAGTAGGATGCATCCGAGCTTATTCTACACCCTGAGCCCTCCATGGATATTGCTTCAAGCCCCTATGAAACCCCACAACCCCATATTATCCTCATGGTGCCCTATAAACCCGAATGTAATCCCTCTGCCCTTATGATCCGAATGAGAAGGACTGATTGTGGATAACCCTAAACCCTAAACCCTAACCCTAAACCCTAAACCCTAAACCTTAAAGACCTCCTTGTGGAAACCGCCTGCAGCCCACATCTCTTGGAGAGGCTGATCGCAGAACACTTGGTGCCCGCAGCCGGGGTCTAGTCGCTAAGGAAAATGGCAACAAAGTGCCTCGTTGCCAAGTGATACGGGTTTTGGTGCTACATGACGGCCGTTGCTTCGCAAAACTGGGATCAAGAACATGGTAGCATCGGAGGATTCTTGCTTGCGGGGACATGCGCAAGAAGTACGTGCTTCCCCCGGCTGTCTACGACCCAAGGGTGTCGTTTGCAATCGACGTCAGCAGCTGCTTGGCGGTCTGGACTTTGTCGGTGTCGCCCGTCAGGTAAACCCTGCACCTTGCATTTAGCATGTGGGTAGTTCTCTAGATTAGGGTGACGCTTTTTGGATCACATAGAAGGGGGCCGTACTGAGAGGCCCTAACTTGGAGAACTACCCATGTGGGTTTCTGCTTGTCGTTGTTGTGGCCATGGCCTTCCCCAAACCCTTCCAGGTGTATAAGCTGGAGTTAAGCCCGTTAGGTCAGGTTAGTCGTGATGGTCCCTTTTCGGGTATGCTAAATAATAAAGGGCTCCAAACTACAATTGGCAATAGGACCCCCCTCCCCCCCCCCCGCCCTGTTTTCTACTGTACAGGAATATCCAAGAAAAAATCACATACAATGTGTCTTTGGTGGCTCCTGTGTTCGGTCCTTGTTTTGGGGGGGTTTGGGGGTTAAATTTCTGAGGAAACCCTACCAAACCCCTGTGGGGTTGGTCGCAATTGACAATACCCCCCCCCCCCCCCCAGCAAAAAAAAAAAAAAAATCAACGACGTTCAAGCACCAGCCAAGCCCCAGGCATAGGGTTTATGGTTTAGGGATTTGTGGACGGGAATTGGGGGTGGGCGGGGCGTGCGGGGGGTGGGTGGGCCACAAGCGGTTGTGAGGGTTTCAGGCCTAACATCCGGAATGGGTTGCCATCAGGAGCGTGCACTTTTCAGCCTCCCGCGAACTCTGACACCACTCTTCACCCATGTTAGCTGTTTCCTTGAGTTTGTTTTTGCGGAGGGGTTTAATTAGTGGAGGGGGAGGGGGTGCAGGAACCCTCTTCCTTTTCCCTTGTTCCCTAGAACCTGACGAACCATGATCAAGAATGATCGTGAAGGCGCGGTTCCCGATTGTAGTCGATGTCTATCTTCGCACCCGTCTGCGCCTGCAAGCAGACACCCGTAGGGGGAAATCCCCAAAACCCAAACCGTAACCGTAGCACAAGCCTGCGAATGTAGGTCGCCATGCTGGGCACGGGGTCAAGGGAAAGCATGTCTGACCCTAAACCAAAACCAAATGCACGCCGAAGTCGAGAAGGCGAACTGCAGTCAGGGCTGTCACTACACATCGGCCCCCCGACCATGAGTTTAGTGCCTCACCCAAAACATCCAAAACACCACTTTTTTGAGAGTTACTATCAAACCCCTTGTACCAGAGCAGGCTTTGGGATCTGAAGGTGGGTACTGATACACCCTACTGCGCGTCACTCAGGTTGGGCCGCACCTCGATCTCGTGCACGCGCGCCCCCTTGAGGCCGATCACCTATGGGTCTCCAGCTCTAGGGGTTCTACCTTCGACCCTCAAGGTCGAACCCTTGGGTTTTGGGGGCTTAAGGGAATGTAAGGGCCAGATGAGGAGTATATTAAGGGGAAGCTTTAGGGGTACAACCTATAAGGGGTGCGAGTCTTCATCCCTTGACGAGCACGGGCTGAGGGCGAATCTTTGCCTCAAGAACCCGGACATACATTTGTTGCAGGCTTTTGCCTGCGGGATGCTAAGGTGACCTACAACAAAACAAGAGGAGACAAGCAGGCTCTGGGTTCTGAGGATAGAGGGTGAGGGATGCGGGCATCGGCCTACCAGAACCAGCAATCATCTTCGGCACCCCTAAACACCCTAAACCACCAAAGCCTCTTTGTTGGTTACCTAAGAACCCTATAAGAGGGCTTGTCTATTTACCTACAAAGAAATATTTCCAAGCTTCAGGTCCACAAAAACCCCACAGGCAAGTCAGGCAAAACCCTTAGCCCTAAGCCCTAAGCCCTAAACCCTCAACCCTAAGCCCTAGGCAGGCCTTCCCGATCTGCCCCTGCGAGATATCCACGAACTCCGAGTCCGTGTGCTTCTCGCGGAGGGGTTTGAGAAGCTCCTCGGCTGTGTCTTGTAAACCCAAAACCCTAAACCCCTAAACCCCTAAACCCCCTAAACCCCTTAAACCCCTTAAACCCCTTTTGACCCCTGCCGCGTAAACCCTTAAACCCTAAACCCCATTAGGGCTTAGGGTGTAGCTCTTGTTTTTGGGGCTGGGGTTTAGGGCTTAGGGTTTAAGGTTTGGGGGTTTAGGTTCTTTAGGGTTTCGGGTTTAGGGCTTAGGGGTTCGGAGTGTTTCGGGGTGCTTCGGAACCCTTTACCAACCCCGGGCTGTCGCAAGCGCTGCGCGCCGGCATATCCCTGACTCGTGCAGCTCCAACCATGAACCAAATAACTTACAAGTAATGAGCATTCTGCCCACTATGTTGACATCGTCCCTATGCAGTGGTACTGTAAACTCTCCGAAACGAAACCACCACTATATGACATGCTCCGAATTCCGAACTTTGTTGCAAGCAAAGGAGGCCCTAAACCCTAGACCCCCCCTTAAACCCTAACACCTAAACCCCATAAACCCCAAACCCTTAGAACCCCAAACCTGCATTCCCGTAGGTTCTTAGTGTACAAACCCTTATAGGATTCCTAGGTAACCTCCAAGAAACGGAGGCTGCAGTGGGTTCTCAAGGAAACCCCCCTTCAACCCTAAACCCTAAACCCTAAAACCCTAAACCCTAAAACCCTAAAACCCTAAAACCGTAAACCCTAAACCCTAAAACCCTAAAACCCTTAAACCCCAAAAATCTAAAGGTTGGCGTGGCTCCAAGATCAGCTCCCGTGCTTTCTTCACCGCCTCCGGCGTGCCCTGGAGCTTCACTTGGCAGGGGTCGGTGCCTCGCCGCGCTTTACCCTAAACCCTGAACCCTAAATCCTAAACCCGGGTTTTTACACAAGAAGCCCGAAACCTGCTCTTTTGTGGGCTCTTAGTATAAAACCCCTTATAGGATTCTCAGGTAATTAACCTACACAAAGAGGCAGGGTTTGGGTTGGGCTTGGTTTAAGGCCTTGCTCGGAGGGATAAGGGTTGGAAAGGTTTAGGACCCCCAAGCCCGAAACCCTAAAAAGCCAAATGAGTGGGTACAGGGCATCCTCCTCGTCGCTGTTGCACTTGCGCTAAGCCCGTTCTGCTGCGAAGTTCTCAAAATGTCAAGGGCTGAAGCGCACCAGGAATCACCACCGTTCCTGCACCCCCCTCCCCCCACATCAAACCCATGACCTGAACCTTTCTTGCCTCCAACAGAACATCCTCTCAAGCTCCCGAAACCCTAAACCCTAAACCCTAAACCCTAAACCCTAAACCCTAAACCCTAAACCCTAAACCCTAAACCCTAAACCCTAAACCCTAAACCCTAAACCCTACACCGATCGATGGCCGGATGGCTCTGGTCTCTGGCATCGACCTTCCAGGCGCCGCTCTTAGCTCTCACCTCAGTGGCGCAGATGAACTAACCCTACTTTGAAGTAGACCGAGTAGACCCGGGTTTAGGGTTCAGGGTTTAGGCTACAGGGTTTAGGGTCTAGGGTTTAGGGTTTAGGGTTTAGGGCTACTCTGGAGCAGACCCTGGGAAAAAGAGTATATACTTTTTAGGTATAAGTAGCTCTTTATAGGAACCCAGAACCAAAAAAACATTAAAGTAGAGTATTCCAAATCCCAGTTAAACAAAAAACGAAGAGAGACCACAGGGCTGTGCGGAGGCCATGTGAACCCCAAGGCCTCTTCAGGAACCTCGCCCTGGAACATGAGCTTTTCTTGCACGAATTTTTGCTTCGTTACATGAGCTGGGAGACGGAGGGACAAAGAGAGGAATAGGCGGGCGGGTCGAGCGCGAGAAAAAAGGAATGGAGCAAGTCAGGGAGGGATGCCCTCCCTTAAGGAGCGATCATCACAGCAATGGCACGGATCACTAAGCAACACTGCAACACCCGCCACCAGTTTCTTCTCGACATCTCCGGGGCATTTCGAAAGAACATGTTTCCGGATCCTCATAGTATACTTAATATGCGCAAAGATCCCTCGGGGGGTGGCTAGTATATACCAAAAAGAACGAGTACAAATCCCATGGAGGCAATATAGAGAACATGGCGCCTCAGCTATAGTGGCGCCCTTCTTGCCGATGACGCGGGCGATGAACGACTTTGGCACGGCTACGGTGTCCTGCCAAGCAGGGGCGGTACTTGGAGGTTCATGATACTTAGGAACTAGCTGGTACTTATGAGCCACTTATAAGCCCCTTAAGTGCCTGGTGATAAAGTACAGTTATACTTGGTTAAGAAGTCGTGCTCCAAGTAGAGAATCTACAGCATGCCCCTGCGAGCACCACCTGTCACCCCAACAGGGGCCACCCCCAAGAGTCCGTATAAGACCTACATGAACTAGTAGGGAAGCTTTGGGGATACCCCTTTCAAGCCTACGATTTGCTTAAGCAAACCACCAAAAAACACAAGGCAATATGGGGATCATCATCTTTCATATTTTTGCGGGGTGCTTAAGCAAATAGTAGGAGGGGGTAGGTTTGGGGTCCGCTTAGGGTGGCTAGGGCCATCTGGCTGCCACAGACAGTCCTCGACGCCCGCGTCCAAGAATATGGCTACATCCTGTTTGTCTTTCTCCTGCAACTCGAAGGCTCGCACGCAGCGTGGGCACAAAAGGGTTTAATTAGGGCTTAGGGTTCAACCTCCCAGCAGGAGGTCCCTGAATTCCTCGCCCCAAGACCCCCTTCCCCAAGAGCCCAAACCCACCAAAGCCGCCAGCATCGCAACAAACACCCGAAGCAAAAGTGGCCAGCGCTGAAAGTTTGCTTGGGGAAAAGGGTTCAAGGTGCAGGAGCCACTAGCCTCAACGTCTAGGAGTTTGTTACTCCGAACGGCGGGTTAACGGTTTCCTTTCATCCCTGCTGACTCGCGAGTCTTGTAAGCAAGCCTAGAGACCAGGTGCCACTTGGAACCTTAGTAAAAATGTTGTTAAAAACTTTCCCTTGGGTTTTGTTTACGGAGCTTCAGACTCCAAGCCTTCGTCCCAAAGCAGTGCAAAGCCTCCAAAATCAGAAACACAACAAACCGAAAGTCCCTATACACATGAGCCCTAAACCCTGTAACACCTAAACTCCTGATACCCCCCTCCCTCTGAGCCCTCAACCCCATACCGGGGCCTATCTTAAGAACCCCAAACCTAAGAATCCCATAAGGGGTTTCATACTAAGAACCTACAAAAGGTTTCTGGTTCTTAGGGCCTAGGGTGTGGGTTTAGGGCGCCTTCCCTTGGGGCAGAAGCTGCCAACGCCCTCCGGTTCTGTGATTGGCGCAGGTGACCCCAAGATAGAACATGTAATTGGGCTTCGAGCTAGGAATATGCAAACTGGGTCCCCCTCCTCTCTCTCAAAACACGATGGAGGAGCTACAACGGGGGGTACAACCAAGCCATAAGCCCTCCAGCTAAACCCTAAACCCTATACCCCCATAACCCGAAACACCCTAAACCCTAACCCCCTAAAACCGTAAAACCGTGAAACCGTAAAACCGTAAAACCGTGAAACCGTGAAACCGTGAAACTGTAAAACCGTAAAACCGTAAAACCGTAAAACCGTAAAACCCTAAAGCCATAAAGCCCTAATGATACAGGCCCCTCCACTACGTCGCCCTAAACCCTAAACCCTGAACCCTAAAACCTCAACCCGAAACCCTGAACCCTAAACCCTAAACCCTTCCTTCTCGCGCTCGCGCGACCGCTCTTTGGACGGGCTTCGGGAAGACTCGCGCCGACCTTCGGCGAGCGGAAGCTCTTGTTTCCAAAGGAGGTTGAGGGCTGAAGGAGGTTTAGGGTTTAGTAGGGTTTAGGGTTTCAGGGTGTTGAGGGTCAAAAGGGGTTTAGGTTACCCTTAGGCCCTTAGGCTCAAAGTAGCCCACGTTATATAAGGAAGGCCTTTGGGCCCAAATACCCTAAACAAAGAGGCCTTAGGGGGCTTAGGGGTTTTTTTAGGGCTCAAGGCTTCAAGAGGTTAAAGACTTAGGGCTTGTAGGGGCTTCAAGGGTTTTAGGGGTTGAAGGGCTTTAGGGTTTCAGGTCCGAGGATTGCAGAGTTTTAAGATTTTGCTTCCAGGGACACAAGTGTGGTGTCCTTCAAGGTTCGAGTAGTAGCCTGTAAACTGGGTAGAGGGCTTTAGTAAACTCTAAACCCTAAAACGTAAAACCCATAGCTTGAAGGACATGGCGTGGCCTCCTGCATGTCCAGCAGCATGGGCGCCGCCTGGGACGGCGCCCGCAGGGGGCCAGCCGTAACCCGGCCAGCCGTAGCCTCCTCAGAGCAACCCGATGCCCAAAAACCCTTACTTTTTGTTGTCATGTTTCTTGCCTTTGTTTCCATCATGTTTAACTTAACGAATATGATGAATATTCATAATTTTCACATGTGCCTTCGTTTTTTTTCAGAGGGCTTTCTCATATCGGGGCCCGGCTGACGACTTACCCTATACGATGGGTTTTAGGGTGAGGATGGGTGAGGTCCTCATTGTATGTAGTAGGGTTCCACGTGTGGGCCCTGAATTTTAAGGGTCCCTGGTGACATAACCCTCATACACTCTACCGAAAAATGGGGCCATACTTCGGATCCCTGTAAACTTGGGTAACGGACCATACGAAGGGCCCATGGTCCCGACCTGTCAAATCCTCCTACAGTAAACTCCCAAAAGTTGGAACATCATAATCCTTGTACCCCAGTTACTAAAGGATTCGCAGCACTAATCGTCCTTAAACCATGTTCCAACTTCATGGAGCTTACTGTAGGCTTCCGGGAGGGGCGAAGCTTGTACACCCTTGCTTGAACCCAGACTCAGAGCATCAGCTTGCCAACCCTTTTTGACCCCGCGAGCTCTGCCGGGTTTCACAGCCGTCCATGCAGCCCTCATGCCAACCCTAAACTCGAAAGCCTTGTGCTTAAACCCTAAACCCTAAACCCTAAACCCTAAACCCTCAAAGCCAACAACAAAGTTGGGGAAGCGAAGGCCTGGCCAGGCGTATGGCATGGCGACTGGCGGCCAATAGCCTCAAGTGCTTGTTCTGCATCCGTATGGGGTTTAGGGTTTAGGGTTTAGGGTTTAGGGTTTAGGGTTCAGGGTTTAGGGTTTTAGGGGGGGGGGGGGCTTTGGGACGTGGTATCTTGAGCTACATGTATTGCAGGTGCCTAGATCCTTACGGTGGGGTAGGGCTTAATGTCTAGGATTGCACACAGTGTTCTAGGGAAAGCAGAGCTAAGTTTCAGAACTCCTGCATATTTGTAGCATGCCCCCCACCCCCAGCCGAAGCTTAGGACATTTTCTACCAACACCCCATTCACTACCAGATCTGCATGAAGTTTCAACGAGCCCACGGACGCCCTCACTCAACGCCTGAAGCCCTCAGCCCTCGCCCCTAAGCCCCTGAACCCCTCCAACTTGCCTCCCCCCCGACCCTAACCCTTTTGCAACTGGCCTGCCACGACCCTCAGCCCTTAACCCCTAAACCCTTTCTCTCTCTCATTCTCTCTTGCGATTTGTCTTTCCTTCTTTCTTGTCGTCGTCTTTCTTTATGTTCTTTTTCTGCTCTCTCTTTCGTAGATTAGTTCTGTCTTTCTCTCTTTCTCTTTTGCTCGTTCACTCTCCCTTTGCCTTTCCCTTTCCCTTTCCCTTGCCCTTTCATTTCCCTTTCCCTTTGCCTTTCTCGTTCCCTTTCCCTTTGACTTTCTCTCCCGCAGGCGCTCAGTGACTGTCAGGCCTGAACGACCGCAACCCCCCAAACCCTAACCCCCCCCCCCCCCCAAAAAAAAAAAAAAAAAAACTAAACCCTAAACCCTAAGCCCTAAGCCCTAAACCCTAAACCCCAAAAAACCCGCGACCACTCCCCGAACACCCGGCCAAGCCGCCTTGCCATGTCGCGGCGCGCTGCCGTGGGGCAGAGCTCGAAGAGGAGGAACCTGTGGCAATCTAAGCCGGTTCACCGTTGGACCCTCTGAAAAATAGGGTTTAGGGTTTAGGGTTTAGGGTTTAGGGTTTAGGGTTTGGGGTTTAGGGGTCCCTGATAGTCCCAAATAAGGAAATGAAAAATGTCCCAAAAAACACCCTAGTAAGGCTAGTTTCATGGGCCCTGAATGTAGAGAATAGAGTATACAAGGGCTAATATAAGGGTCCCCTTGTAAGGGTACGAAGGGACCATGCAACTACCCTAAGCAAAGGGTTGCAGTTCCCAAGTGTTTCCAGGGCTTGGGGTTAAGGGATCGGATCGTTTAGGGGGGTTTATACCTACTGCCTCTGAAGAGGGGATTCAATACCGAATATCCCCTGACACATACCCTTTCACGGATTAACCTCCTTCCCACATACAGACAAGAAGGTATATAGGCTGGGTGCGATCTCGCGATTCGAAGCCAGGCCTGGAAGAGAATCCCCCCTAAACCGAAGCAGTGGACAAATCTCGGACCTAAGCACTTCAAACCCTGAACCCTAAACCCTCCCAACCCCGAAGCACAAGTCTAATGACCTCCCATCTCTGAAGCACCGAACTCCACAATGAGATCGTTTCCGGGTCTCTCCCCCTCCTCGCAACAGTTTGCGCCGAGGTGCTGGAGGACGACGAGCTCTTCTTCTTGCGCTTCTTTTTGGGCTTGCCTTGGCTGGGGGCCTTTAAGGCGGCTAGTAGGGGTTTAGATTTCTGCGTGAGGGATCCTAACCCTTACAAATGGGAACCAGGGTCGTTTAGGGTATAGGGTTTAGGTGTGTTTTAGCCTCCCAGGGTTTAGGGTTTAGAGTTTAGGGGTACCACTGAGCATCCTGTATCAAGGCTTTTTTGCGCCCTGGAGTGGTAACTTCAAAAGGTCTACTGCAGGGCTGACACATGAGAGCAGCAAGTCGGAAGGCAGAAACCGGATGCTGGCTCTCAGTAGGAGCATTGGCGCTGAGGTAAGCCGGTCAGGGGCCTTTGGTGAGACCCTTTATAGAGCCCTCCGTAGGGAATGGGGGGTGGGGGGGGGGGGGGGGTTGTCGGTTTTGGGTCATTACAGAGCTTTGGTAGGCACCACATGAACCCCAAAATTGGGGGTCATACACCCTGTCCTACTATGACTCCTTTGAAGGTGTACGGGTTTAGGGTTTGGGACCCTATACTACTCTCATTCCTCCCAGGGTAGTCTGAACCATAAACCCTTGTCAGCCATGCTTGGGGTCTGGTGTCGGGGCTTTGGTGAAGACGACGATGAAGACGGCGCCTCGCGGATTCAAACGTTAGACTTTTGCAGTTTAGGGTTTAGGGAAGGCCCTAAACCCAAAAACCCAAAACCCTCGAGGAGGACCAAACGAACCCTGCAAGGGTTTACGGTTCATGTTGCCTTAATATGAACGATATAATCGTACAAGGTATCATGACCCTGTTCATGTGGTCAACCCTAAACCCTATCCCGCGCGGCCAAGAGGCCCCTGAAAACCTGAAAAGACCTTGTTTTTGGGGTCCTTAAGGGAAGGGGGATCAAGGGCCCAAAGGTTCCCCAATGCGCTCCCTAATGCTCCTAAACTTCCATCCGGTTCCCTGGTACTGGGGTCTAGGGTTTGGTTTAGGGTTTAGTTAGGGTTTAGGGGGCTTCTCAAGTGCAACAAGGATTGATTTGACGCACCGCAAGCGAAAGTGTTCGTCAGCCATATAGAGATTAGCAGAACAAATTGCTTTAGGGTTTATTTAGAGTATCACTTACTGGGAGACCCGCCCGTGCCACCCAAACTACTGTGAGTCCTCGATGAACGCCCTAAACCCTTCAACCCTTGAAACCCTAAACCCTTGAAACCCTAAACCCTATATAAACCCTTATGAAACCCTTCAACCCTTGAAACCCTGAACCTTTTAATTCTTTGCTCGGTCCCCGACCCCCCTCCCCCCACCCCCACCCTCCCCCGTTCCCACACCCCCCTCTCACCCCCCCCTCCCCGTTCCCACACCCCCAGCCTTCCGCTTTCGCTTTTTCTCTTCCGCGCTGCGGTCGCGCGGCATGGCCCAAGAAAGAAAAGCTCTTGGCTACACTCAGAAGGGTAGCTAAAAACTAAAATTTCTAAGCTGCCTTATGAAGAAACCCAATAAGCCCAAAAAGGCTAAGGATCTAAAGTTACAGTAAAGTACCACAAAGAGCTGTTAAAGGCCCTGCCTGGGACTCTCCTTACCTGCTGTTTTTTTTTAGGGGTTCGACCTACGAATTAAGGGGTGGATACTACTAAACTGTAGGGAGGTCTTAGATAGTACCTTAAGAACCCAAACCCTTCTGTTTTGGAAACCCCTCGTAGGGATTCTTACGCGACCTACAAACCGGTGGGTTTTGTAGGGGGAGGATTCTTGGACTTGCCCTACAGGGCGGGTAAGTCTTTCTCGGACTTCTAGGGCACACAGGGTTTGGAGGTTCGGGCTGGGGTTTGCTGTTGGTCTTGGGTCCCAAAGTTTCAGGACTTCGGGGATGTGTGTGTGTGTGCTTTTGGTCTATCTGCGGGCACTCGGGATTGAGCACGACGATCCTGGCATTCTGGGGGGAAACTTCACTTTAAAGGGAAGGGGATTCAAGAGCCATACACGGCTGTGGCCACAGTCTCCAGGAGACGAGAGCGTTCAGGGTTTAGGGTTTGGCCCTCAAAACAGGCTCCAAAGGTATAGGGTGCTTAAGGGAGGGGCGTTCATGTTTCGGGTTTTCGGGATTAGGGTAGTATTAGGGGACCTTGGGTTACATACTACTGGGCCTGAATGATTCGAAGAGGGGCTTGGGGGTTATGATGGTACATTTTTAATACAGAGGCCATAAGGGAGTACTACTAGTCATTATTCCGGCCCTTATAGTACACCCCTGGAACCCCTCTCCCTCAAGACCCTCCCTCAAGAACCCTAAGGGACAGCATCGGCAATGCTTTACACGGACTCAGCGGTTGCCTTGCGTCTTGCGTGCGGGGCGTATAGGGGTAGGAGTGCTTACTTCTACTGGGAGATTCATGGCTACTTATAAGTGGGGCTGTATAAGTACCATACATCATGAGGATATACCCCACAGTTACCCGTTACCCTACCGATAACCTTCCTGAGTCTTTAGGGTCTATAGGGTCTATAGGGGTTAGGGTTGTGGCAGCAAAGGCCTCCGCAAGAAGGCAAGCACCACGAAGCCTTCAGCCAAGCATCCCCACTGCCTTGAAACCCCGACCCGTTATTTGACCCCCTGTCTTAAACCCCAAGCCCCATATGCCCTAAACCCTTTTCCCTGAACCCTAAACCCTGAACCGAAAACCCCAAGCCCGGCCAGAGGACCTGCTCCCTCAAGCGACGCAGCGTCTCGGCGGTTGCCTGGAGCTGCACCTCCCCCGGCAGGGACCTTTGATGCAGGCGAGGGTTCAGGGTTCAGGGTTCAGGGTTTAGAAGTTTCGGGCTCAGGGCATTCTATGTTTGGAGCAAAGGCCCAGGCACCAGAATCGAACAACAACAGTTCGGGACATGCCGAGGGCCATCTGGGACTTGGGGAGCTGGGTCAGAGAACCGGTGTGCACATGAAGACATCCGGAATGGGGCTCGACTGGGTTCGCGCACAGACGTGCAACCGAAGTCGGCCGAAGCGCCTGCTGGTCTAGCAGGCGTTGTATAATAAGCAACCCTAAACCCTAAACCCTAAACACAAAACCCTAAACCCTAATTTCCCCTGCCTCGCAACAGTTCGGGGGCTCAGGGAGGAGCCCTGTACTGTAAGCCCTAAGCCCAAAGCCCAAAGCCCTAAACCCTAAACCCAAAACCCAAAACCCAAAACCCTAACCATAAACCCTAAACCCTATTTTCCCTGCCTCGCAACACTCGCGGGGCTCATGGAGCCTGAGCCCTGTACTGGAACCTTGTCAGTGACAAGTGCAGGCATCAACTTCGGCACAGTCGCTACGTGACCTGTGGCCGGCTGTACCGATGCTCTCTGCACCCGAAACACTTGGGGTTGAGGGTTGAGGGTTTAGGGTTGAGGGTTTAGGGTTGAGGGTTTAGGGTTGAGGGTTTAGGGCTCGGGGCATCTTAACGCCAACTTGCTGCCCAGGGCTCTTCTGAACATAGGACTCGGGCTTTGTTGAGGGCATGGGACACAAGGATATTCTGCCACCATGTTTCTAGCTGACGGTTGCTGGGGCACTCGTTTCTCAAGTCTGCATCCCGGCACGGGGGGGCCCTTGCGAGTTGGCTACAGGCCAACTGTACAACTCTACAGACTCCAAGGAGCCCCATGCCGCTGGGAAGATGAGGCCGAGCTTAAACACACAACTGCACTGCCTTGCGATCCCATAGCCTTCGAAGCTTACCCTAAACCCTAAACCCTAAACCCTTATGTTCTTGCAAGCCTCTGTTTGAACAGGGGTTTGGGGGGGTCTTCAGGCCGACATGCCCACCCTTGAGGGGCTTAAGGTTGAGGGTTTAGGGCTTAGGGTCTAGGGTTTAGGGTTGGTTTAGGGTTTAGGGTTTAGGAAGTTTTTGGTTAGCTTGCAGGGTTTTTCTAACCAAATGGTACAGGATTGAGAGAGTTCGGGTTGGAAGAGGTCTACGGTACCACCGGATGCCCTCCGAGATGTCGTGCTTCAGTGGCTAAACCCTAAACCCTAAACCCTGAACCCTGAACCCTGAACTCTGAACCCTAAACCCTAAACCCTAAACCCTAAACTAAATCTATAATCCCTAAACCCATGGGCCCATCTCACCGCAGTGAATTATGCACCTCACGGAGGAGCTCCTCTGAGCAGCAGCGTTGCAGCACAACCCGGGCATGCCATGGGCTTGTAGGGTTTAGGGTTTAGGGTTTGGGGTTTAGGGTTTGGGGTTTAGGGCTTGGGGCTAGGGGCAGGGTTCCAGGGTCCTGGGTCTAGGGTTTAGGGATTGTGGATTTCGGGTCTAGGGTTCAGGGTCAAGGGTTTAGGTGCAGGTCGTATGGTTTTTGGTTGCCACCCGCCTAGCTGACTGTAAGAAAGACTGCATGGACTACACCCGTTGCTCAAAAGAAGACTCACGCACTAGGCGAAACCATATCTCGAAGAAACCGTCAAGCGGATCTTTGACAGGTTGGGATTTAGGGTTGTAGATAGATTTCAGGGTTTAGATAGGAGACGATTTTTTGTTCCCCCCAACAGGTGCGATTCACTGAGATTGGATCACGGAAACATGCCAGAGAGGTTGAGACATGGGCGCTTCCTAATTCAGGGTACCCCCGAAGAATTCCCAAAACTACGATTTTTCTTGCAAGAGGAAACCCCCAAACCCTAAACCCCAAACCCCAAACCCTAAACCCTAAACCCTAAACCCTAAACCCTAAACCCTAAACCCTAAACTGGGGCACAACCCATCTTCCCACTCCTCCAAGATGGGGTAGGTCTGATGAGACACCACCTGGGCTTGAGTGCTGGTGTAGGGTTTAGGGTTTAGGGTTTAGGGTTTAGGGTTTAGGGTTTAGGGTTTAGGGTTTAGGGTTTAGGGTTAGGGTTTAGGGTTTGGGGTTTAGGGTTAGGGTCTAGGATCCAGGGTTTAGGGGGTTTAGAATTTAGCATTTAGGGTGTAGACTGGCGCGTGCTGTTTTGCTTTGGCGGCCTCCTCTGAAAGAGCAGAGTCGTAGAGCTCAGAACCCTTTCAACGAGGGTCAGCGATTGGGCTATTCCCCCTTCTACTAACAGTTCTTACTAGGGACTATAGTACCCCCCCCCCCCTCCGCCTATGGACTATTAGTATACAGGGGGAACATCCCATGTCAGCGAATTTGACAGCATCTCACGAATGCACTACCTCAGACTCCCAAATCCCTAAACCCTAAGCCAGGAACCCCTAAACCCTAAACCCTAAACCCTAAACCCTAAACCCTAAACCCTAAACCCTAAACAGACTCCCCCCTGTCCAGACCTGAGAGTTGCCCGGGAATAAAGGGATTTAGGATTCAGGACTAGACCTAAGAGTAACCTAGGAGTACAAAAGGGTGCCCTTTTTGGGTGAAAGGGGGCTTTACAGGGGAACCTAAACCCCAAAAACAGGGGGAATAAGATCCCCACTCTGGGTCCCAGCGGAAGGTTCGTGGGTACTTCGAAGTAAGGTTATAAGCAGCCAGAATCAGGTCACTGCCGTAGTTGCCCTGCTTAGAAGCCTTCTCATAAGTATCCCTGAACCTCCAAGTAGCCCTAAACCCTAAACCCTAAACCCTAAACCCTAAACCCTAAACCCTAAACCCTAAACCCTAAACCCTAAACCCTGAACCTTCACTTCGTCCCAAGGTGCTTGGGACAGGAAGCAGGCGGCCAACTCCTCCTCCGGATTCCTGGGCGTTCAGGGTCTATAGAGCTTAGAGCTTAGGGTTTAGGGCAAAGTTTAGGGTTTAGGGTTTAGGGTTTAGGAAGATTTTGGCCACCCGCCCAGCACTCGCGCACACTGCGGAGACCACTTTCCTGGGTTTAGGGTTTGGGGCTTAGAGTTTAGGTTTAGCTTGGTAGCCAGTAGCCATCTTATCAGAAGGGCACCCTTTTTGTGGTTGGCTACTGTATAAGGTAGAGGGTACCAATAGCCTACCAAGTCAGTTCGGCTTAGGAATTCGTCTGGAGAACTTTGTAAAGTTCGAGCGAGGGCTTGGTGCCTCATTGGCCCAGTATTTTAGCCTCAGGAGTGCAGTCATTTGGCATATGCCACTGCCCTAAACCCTAAACCCTAAACCCTAAACCCTAAACCCTAAACCCTAAACCCTAAACCCTAAACCCTAAACCCTAAACCCTAAACCCTAAACCCTAAACCCTAGTCCTGGGCCAAGCCGCACGAAGAAGTAAGTGGAGGCAAAGCCCATCCAGTGCCAGCTACCTGCTCAATTCGGGACGAGGGTCATAAGGGCTCTTAGGGTCTCGGGCTCCTTACAGGGTGGGGCCCCCTTACTATACTAACTGTAGTTAAGGGACTTATAACCTAACTTAGGGTCCTTATAACCCAATTTAGTGCCCTTATAACTCTACTTATAACTAGGGGGCCCCACCCTG